ACTTGGACTAGCAGTATCTTGAGGTATCGCTCGGATTGAAACTGGGATCGATAGCGGTCAACATGGTTTCTGTAGTCTAATAATAAGCTAATGAGACTTAGCAAACAAGCTCATTAACTATACATCTGCTAAGCATTTATGAATCATGGCGAGTGGACCTGACTCGGACCCCTTGACTTTGGCTTAGGATTATCTTTGGCCACTCACAAGGGATCAATTGCCCATGGTGTAACGAGGATACCATGTTTTCTGTTCCCAATCAACGTGATACAGGTCCAGAAGCCATGCCTCCCAGCCAGAGCTACCTCGAGTGCTGAGATGTACTGCACTCAGTCGTTTTCGACCATGAAGACTCATAGGATTCAAGTCGCTCATGAAGCTTAATGTCCGACTTCAACACCTCAAACCCAGGTACTTGACGTAGAGACGAAGCAAACTATGTGCTTAGAAATAAGATTGTCTAGAAAGTGTGACACTTCTCGATTCAGAGTTCCTGGCAAGTTCTTGTCTCTAATCCATGTACTTGTTCATTCATCTCTATGCGGTTTCATGGTAATGCCTTGCCCGCAATCCAAAGCCTCTCTGTTGACACAAATCAAAAGCTGATATGTACGCAAGGCTTAGGTTAATGCGCCTAGATGAGAGTACTGCTTCTCACCAACCCAAGGTTGACTGTCGTAAGGTCTAGTTGCCCTTGGTCAGTGGCATGGCGATATGTATATCCCAAGACAAGATTTGGCACCTTTGGTTTGTCTCAGAAAACACATACTGTGTCAGTCCTACACAGAAGACCACTGATCGGCTTGACATCGATTGTTGCTCATGATCTCAATGGAAATTGAGATGAAGAGTGACGAAATTGATGTAAGACGCTTGACCTTTGGTTGATGCCTGTCCGACAACGTTGCTATGCAGCAATTTTGACTGGCTCGAGGCTGTGTCCACGAGGCTCGCTCAGCTCTCTAGTGGCCGCCTGGCCATTGTAACATTTCCTTGGTCTTAATTGATAGCATGAGAAACCTCTGTCAATCGCAGGCCGTAACCACAACACGCGCCGCTATCAGTGGTTGAGGATCCCGCCAGATATCTATGGGTCCAAGTCCGGTCACGGGTGGGAGTTCGACCACGGCTGGTGATTGTCTTTTTGATATCTACCCAAGGGGTCTGCGATCCATTGGTTGTAGCCAGACAAGCCAGCATCCAATTCAATGTACTTGCTAGTCGACGTGGTTGTGCTGGGTCTCGTTGATGTTACATGACTATCATTGGCCCACGGGGTTGAGTGATTGGATCCCTTGCATTTTCGGATGTCTACCCATGTGAATTTTCGGATAGCGAGAAGCTATACCTCTCTAAGCTCGAGATGTAGGAAAGCTGAGACCTCTTAAATGCAAAAGAAAAGGGAAAAAAAGGGGGAAAAGGGGAAAAATACTTTAATATAAATTAGGTACAGTATATATTTATTGGAACTTATTGGGTATATTTGGCACCTTACTGTGATGCCTGAGCTTTTTAGTTCTATGGGCTCCTCCTCAACTGAGGTGAGACATAACGCATGGTTTACTTGTGGAAGAACGGGAAAATAACCATGAATTCTGTATCGGCGTAGGATCACAGCCGCAATCGTGATGCTGCTAATGCTGCTAATGCTGCTCTTCTAGTTAAGTTGGGTATCAATTCTGAGGCAAGTGTCGCCCTTACAGTAAACACGGGTCGGGGCCGCCATATTGCACTTGGATACTGAAAACAGTCTTCGCTTGGACGTACAACTGAAGACTAAGGGTTTCAATGAAAGAATAAAGCATGCCAACTGCCAAACTGCCCTTTCGCGAAAATAACAGAACCCTCGGACTATCACAGATCAAGATTCGATGGGAACACTTGCCGATTTCTGCGGATTTCTCTTTCAATGGGTATCTTATGTTTAGGAAATCTTGTAACGTTACTCTCCGTGGCAAAGCCCTTCCCTTGTGGTCTCATTCAGGTCCATAAACGCCGTACGCCAACCTGCAATTCTACAGGTGGTTTCGATCAAGTTTGCAACAGGAGCCTCGACATCCAACACTCACGCATTTCCGTGATGTCAGCTCAAGACTGGCTCAGAAGCGTATACTGGGCGAAAACAACCATAGTTCTGCATGTCCTCCAGGAAAGTCGTTATTCAGGGTGCCTTTTCAAACAGCTTCTGAATCGGTTTGGCAGCCTGGGAAAAGGTTAGTACAAAAGCCAGATCGTGACTAGGAAAACCGGCGTCAAGAAACTTGCATCAATGAACTTTTCCAAATCATTATCCAAGTTGGCAAGGTCATCCTTCCTTCTTTTGTTATCCGCAATCAGCTTCTGTTTTCGCTTAAGTAGCTCCTGTCGCTGCTGCTCCAGAGCTTCACGCTCAGACCGTTCGTGATCTATGCGCGCTACCATCAAGGTATTCTCGTCATCATGCTCGTGTTCGGGATGCTGGGCAAGGAATTCCTCGACAGGAATAAGAGGTAATTGTTGGTATTTGTGGCTATGATTTGTTAATGAAATGCTGCACTCGACTTCCAGCTGCGACTGGAGTCAATGTACAAGGGCTTACTCGTATGATTCGCATGCTGTAATTTCTCCTTGGAGGTGTCGTTGTTCGTAATACAGATTCTGAAGCTGGAGATGCAGGCGGTCGACTTCTTGACGCGACTCGGCAGTCTGGGACTTGGTCTCACGTGCGGAGAAACAGACGTTTCGGTGCAGTCCTTTCAGATGCGCTATGGTCGTGAAAAGGAGTTTTTGCTGCTTGGCGATTTCAGCTTGCGCTTCTACTGAAGGAGGCCCTTCGCTGTATGATTGTTCGCCCAGACTGAGGAGTGCGCCAGCCTGGTCGCGTGCTTGGTCTGAAATCTGCAAGACTGCACAAAGCCTTGGGTCCGTAACAATTTTATCGATCGCCATGTTCTGTATCCCTGGGTCGTACTTTTTGATGCGAAAGAGGTACAGTAAGTGCAAGGTGTGGAGAAGAATAGCTGGATGGATTCGAGAAGTCACAAACTCGACCCCAGGCTTTTGTTTGTTCCTGGGCTAACAGAAAGGTGGGGCTGGGCTCACTGAAAGGGTTTCGATGAACATGATCTACTCCATACTGTGTTTCGTGGTCTAACTTGCGGAGAAATAGTACCACAAAATGTAGGCTACCTACTAACCTTATACTTGCTTTCAAGACAACAGCTTATTCTGCACAGCAAACGCTTGGTGAATATTCTTCTAAAAGCAGTCTAAGTGAGAAATCCCTCCTCTGCATAGCCTCTTTAACTGGGGACCTTATGCGTCCTGGTTCAAAATACATATTGGTGACGTAGTTGTTGATTAGCTCCAGCCTCTAAAAATCAACGGTATACTCCGTACCGGTCGATTACCTTGAGCTGATGGTATTTGGTTATTGATTATTGATCTTGTCAATTAGCCTCTCAGTCATATCTTCAGTCAATACTCACTCATCCACCGACTCTCTTTATCGAGTCGTTTGAGTGCCAATTGCTTATTGACTATGACCCAGTATTTTCTCTCTCACCTGCTTGCTCAACTGAATGTCGTCTTTTTAGGCCCCTGCCGTAAACCAAGTGACTTTCCATTGACTTCAGCAGTTGCACCGTTCCTCGACGGCGCGACAATCGAGTTTCGCTCAGACATAGTCTCAATTTGCATTCATGCATTCATTTGATCAACATTTCCACATCTCGGCGAGGTTGAGAATAATAGTTATCATTGATTCTAAGCCTAATAAGCAGACCATTGACAGTGCTACGTTACCGCCAAACAAATGGCTCTTGTGGCTTCTGGTGGCTATGGGATCACCACACAGCTCTGATGTGGATGGATATGAGAGGCCGCGGAACCAAGATCAACGACTACTGCATGGTAAAAGGAAACTCGTGTCTAGTTGCCTTGATGCTCGAAATATTTAATGACTTGTTAGTCCCTATCCTTACAACTTTTAGCATCAATCTCTAAGTACCCTGTTGTCCAGGAACACAGACCAAACGAGAGCGAAATCTCAATCCAAGTGGTCGGAGGGTGCATCGGAGGCGTTTTCACGGTTGGCACCCTATTGGTTCGAGAATGCATCTTTCTTGCGCAATCAAAGTCCATAAGCGGGCCGTGGCGAGCTGAGTTACCGAGCTTTCTATCTCGTGAGAGTCAGGGGCTGTACCGAGGGGAAGGTCATATGCGCTCATCAAGGAATCCGGATGTCCCTCCAATTACCATCCAGAGTCGTGGATACATACTGTCTTTGCTGGTCATGGAAAGGGACCGGGCTTGTCTCCCGATTCTATCGGTATGTTATGTCTTTGCCTTGTTTAAACGATTAGGCCGTTTTTCAAGTGGCGTTCGTTAGTAACCCAACAAGGACGCCAAGACCGCCCCCGGTACCGTCATTTCAGCTACCAGTCCTTTTTTCTTTGATCTGACTGCCCAATTTCTCAACGTCCCATTCATCATGCGCTCTCGCTCTGTTCATTCCTTCGCCCTCTGACCCTTCTCTGCTTGTACTTCCATATCCCCACGAACCATACTTTCCTTTCTAAGCCTTCATATTCTCAACATCATATCATTTCCCCATTTCCAAGCCTTGGCTGCTTCCTTACACGCAGATCCTTATCCAACTCAGCAAGAATAGGAACAGGACAGGACTATTTCCGCCAACCAGACTCGGCAATCGTTGTCCCCGCGTGTAAAATACCCGCATGGTCCGCAAGGGTGCTTCTCTTTGCTGCGCCCAACTTGTTCCGAGACTCCTAATCATTTAGTAATAACCAATTGCGCTCTTCGTTTTTTGCTCGTGGCCCCGACAAAGCCTCACGTTAGCCAAATCGCAACAGAAGTTCGAACGCACACAGCATCGCCAGATGCAGAGAGTTTAACTCGTCGTCACCTCAGTTGCAGCGTCACAGCGCTTGCCGGTTCAGTTTAGCCCAATTGTCGAGGCATAGTCACCACAATATTCGTCTCAAGTCACAGCTGCCATCATGTCAGACGTTACCACCGCCATCACAACGGCCTGCGCCTATAAGGCTCGGGACGGGGATAATATAGCAAGTACATCCGGATCCGACATCCGGCCTGACGTTGAACCCCGAAGACGACGACACTCCTTCTTCATTCCCAGGAGACGATCCATTGTTGGCCATATCATGGATGGCGAAGAGGGTCTTCTTCTCAAAGTCGACCTTTTCCTCTCTGAACTCGAGCGTCGGCTCGATTTTATTGAGAATTATGTCGACTTGAGTAAGGACTCCAGCATCTCTCGTACCTTCTCTACACTCCAGGCTGTTCGTTCGAGATGTTCCCACGCTTCAGAGGAAGTTCTTGGTGCAGGACGACGCCGTTTACACATTATGGTTGATACTCTAGAGGCGAGATACAAGGAGACCTTAGAGGCCGCCGAGTCGCTGAATGAGAAGGCTCACGTTGGAGTCGATTTGCTCGAAAACATGCTCTCTGATTTTGAAGCTAGAGCCTACAAATTGCGTGAGCAGGGCTTTGCAAACGCCGCCAATGCTGCCGAGGCTTTCATGGATGAGGGGCGCCGGGTTGCCAACGAAGGAATCGAGCGTGCCATTCAAGCCGCCCTTTCGCTGGAGGAGCACATTCAACAAGCTATCGTTCTGGCCAAGGAAGGGCGCCTCCTCTCCTACGATGACCTCCCCTCACCTTGGCGAAACAACCCTCACATCCACAAGGGTTACCGTTTCACTGAATCCAAACTCGAATGCGTACGCTCAGCCTTTAATCTTTCCAATGAGCTAGTCAACATCTGGTCCCATGCACTGGGTCTCATTTTGGTCCTCGCGATCGCGTTATATTTCTACCCAAATACTGCCAACTTTACACTCAGTACGAAGTCCGATGTATTCGTCGCGGGCGTCTTTTTTGTTATGGCTTGCCTCACTTTGGTTTGCTCAACGGTTTGGCACACTATGAATGCTGTTGCAGATGTCGATGCCATTTCAATATTTGCCTGCGTGGACTATACCGGCATTTCTCTGTTGATTGCTGCCTCAATCATGACGACTGAATATACAGCCTTCTACTGCGACCCTGTAAGCCGATACATCTATATGGGTTTAACAGCTTTCCTCGGAATCGGAGGCGTCATTCTTCCGTGGCATCCTCGCTTTAATGGTGCTGATATGGCATGGGCGCGAGTCGCTTTTTTTGTTGGCCTTGCCTTGACTGGGTTTATGCCTATGGTTCAGCTTGGGTGGACTCACGGGCTCGACTTTGTGTACAATTTCTACTCACCAATTTCCAAGTCGATGCTCGTGTACTTTACGGGCGCCGTTGTTTACGCCAGTAAGATCCCCGAAAGGTGGTTTCCTGGCTGCTTTGACTATGTTGGTGGAAGCCATAACCTCTGGCATGCCGCAGTTCTCGGAGGCATCCTCTTCCACTACTCGGCCATGCAGACCTTCTTTGCCAACGCCTTCCACCGAGCAGAAGCTGGCTGCCCTTCATATTAGATCATCAGGGGTGGTCGGAAGTGCCTTCAGTGACCAACCCAAACGGGCTAACAAGTCTATCTACCCCCTGGAAGCGTGTCAAATATTTGGCTGATTCTGTCAAGTCTTAATCTACTTGGCCCGCGCCGTTTGGATCCTGCTATGGTTAGTTGCGTGCTCTATCAGAGTTGATCTGAGCGCGACCCCTGTGGCAAGACTTTAATGGAGTACCTATGCGTGCCTTAGGTGCAATGTGAGTCCAATGCCACTACCTATACAAGGGGTATTGCGCCGGAGACTTGGATTGAAACAACTTATTAACCCTGTTAAGACGTGTTGTTCGTCCATGACACGAAAACGTCACAAACTAGCAGGCATACTTGAGTGATAATAGACAAAAGCTATACACTCAGATCTTCTTGATGAAGCTAGAAGCTTGAATGTCGTCATGAAAAGCACACGCATGTAAGCTGGCGCTGAGTTTGATTGATGAACGGATTGAACATGACCCAAGAGACATGTGTGGACGATGCAGTAAGTTCACAATATGATACGAGGCATGTGTAAATAGATAATAGATAACCAATGGTATATTCATTCATTCATTCGTTCGTTCATCCTATAGCATTTGTCTCCGTCAGAACCCTGAGCTCTCTATCCTAAGATATCCTAAGATATCCTAAGGTTACCCATGTCTATTTGTCTTTTGGGATCAAGCTCATACCCAAGTCAGCGCAGTGTAGCTGATTCCTCCAGGCGACTCAAATGGCTCTCAGACGAGAAATGAACATTCTTCTGCCTGCCAATGTATCCTTGTTCTGTGACGCCTTCCTTTGGGCGTAAGCCTGGCGCCAGGTTGGCACTGTTACTTGCAAAAGCATGCCATGTCAAATATCCAACATCAACTCACAGACAATAATATATACTTACAAGACTATCACGTAGCTTACGTCATGTATTATAGCTGGGTCATCTATATAAAAGAGTTGTAATTGTAATTACAGCTTGGATTCATCTACCTCATCGTCTTCACCAAAGATGTTGAGAAATGAGATATGAACTTCGTCAGTCAAGTCGCTTGCCTGTAGACTGCGTCCCTTCTTAGAAAAGGCTAGACGCGAACATTCCTAGGAGACAGTTAGTATGATTCTTTGGGGCCATAGAACTCCGGGGTTCGCCTCTTGGCGGGCAGGTTAAGAGAGAATAGCAGCCAGAGGTGACCTCTGTGCCTTTGAGTCAGAAAAGGGGTAAAAGACATACTCTTGTGATAGCAGAGCCACCGAAGGCTGCCAGACCAACCAACTCGTGCTCGCCGATGGGGTCCTTGCCGACATCCCACAGACGGTCCAGGTAGGCTCTCCTCCATCCCAGAAATGTGGCAATTGAGCCAGTCAGAGTATCTCCCTGCCCTCCACTCCTCTTCTTACCACCTTCAAGGTCCACAGTCAGTGTCGTTTCGCCGTTGGAGATGTAATCTTTGGCACCCTTCTGAACCACTGTCACGCCCTTAAGAGTTTTGGCCAGAGACTCAACGCGAGCGGTCTCAGGCGCATCGTCGTCGACCTTGACTTTCAGTGCGTCGCACAATTTGCCAAACTCGACAACGTTGGGTGTCAGCACAGCGCCGTCGTAACCGCTCACCAGCTCGGGCTGTGTGTGCACTATCGCCAGAGCATCAGCATCCAATACAATGGGGAGCTCTTGCTCGCGAGCGGCGCGGATAACGCGGGCGACAGTAGCGTGCATCAGAGGATCACGACCCAGACCAGGCCCGATGACGAGGACATGGAGGCGAGGCAGTAGGTCTTTGATCTGAGCCGCAATGTGGTCAGCATTGGACTCGGGGTCCTTGGAAGCATTCCAAGCCGCAGGCTCATGTTCTTTTTTGGCGTTTTCGCTCTGTCGCATCAGCGGATGAACCATGAGGTTTGGCGAGTATGACTTGATGACAGTTGCGGCTGCTGGTGTACAAATGACATGCGACTATATGCGAGAGCCATGGTTAGCCGGAACATATCATTGAGAAAAGTACGAGAGTATAAATCACCAGATCAGAGCCCAGCCTTGCGCTCGCCATGGCTGAGAAGTAGGGTGCGCCTGTATAATTTTCACTGCCACCGATGACGGCGACTCTACCCAACTGGCCTGTTCTTGCGTCAGTCTTCAATCATCCAGAATCAGTGCTTTTGGCAACAAACCCTTGTGGAACTTCTCTAGCATTGGCGGAATCATACGCCGCACCTTGGAAAGGACCTCTTTTGTAGCAGAAGACATTTTTGGGCCGGATTCTTGAGACGACATTGCAAGAGACTTATGTGATGAGAGAATGAAAGTTGAGGCTGAGACGTTGCAGGAATTGAGATGTATCCGTGAGTAGCGGGGTGTTAATTAGATCAGATCACTTGTACGCATAGAGTCCAGTAGGTAGGTGATGAAAGGCCAAAAATATGTGAAATGACGCAGCTTTTAAGAAAGAATCGCAAGACAATCGGCTAGATTTTATTTGAACGGAGTCCAATCGATCGGAATCGATGAGGTATTGCCAGCTTGGTGTTACAAGTTATGATGTCACTTTTGTGAGCATTAAGCTCCAGGTGCTTTGTTCAATAAAAATAAACCCAGGCAAAGACCAAATCATTGACGGGTTCTAAGTTTGTGAGAGAGGTGGATTATTCTGTCTACAATATATAAGTTAGGTATCCAGTTGGCTTCATTCGACCGCGTTGTTTATCCCGGGGTTAACTAGGAGAAGGCCAAAATCCGAAGTCCTCTGTCAAAGACATTGATGAAGAAGGAATTGGGATTTTTAGAGAAGCACCATTATTTGAATCCGCGATTCCTAGCTCACTCGCAGATAGTTCATTTTCCGATCCAGACGAACAAAGTGAGCCTCCACAGAAGAGCAAATAGACTGAGGTAAATCCAGGCTATCTTAGGATATCTTAGGAGAGAGATCTCATTGCTTCGTATTAACCCTAGCTGAAGAATATATGCTTCTGTGGTATTGGTAAGTCCCCAGGATGGAATGAATAAGAAGAACTTTAGTTTTCTCTCATGTGAACACTAAAAAGTTTTCTATTATTTCACATCGACAGACAAGTGGTTCGGTACCGTATTTCTCTCTGCCAGCGACGGCTTCTAATAACATTTTCATACTCCTGCAAATACTCCTGCAAAGGTTCAAGGGGATTGAGTTCCATCACGAACACGCATCACCTCAACAGCCTCCATCATTGGTACCACAGTATGATCCTCGTGATCATACTTTGGCCAATACTCATGAATATCTCGCCTGATGTCACCCCATGAGCTCCAGTCTCCATGCCAACGAATGTGCATCTCGTCATCGTCTTTGACTTGGATAAAACTGATATCAGTATCGACCAGAGGCTGGTGTCTCATAACGAACATGAGTCTCTTACAGTCTGGAAACATCTTTCGAACATCTTCGAGCAGCCGATCTAGTTTGACGTCGGACTCTTCTATACCGGGCCATTTCACCGCAACGTTCCAAACGTCGTCAATTTCATCCGTACCAGGCAGTAAATACCTGCATACCATCTCCTTGTCCCAATAGACAATGTCCGTAGATGGTAGCAACCAAAGGCTTTTGTAAATGCCGATGTTCAGTCCGAATAACTGTCTGGCTTCCCCTTTGAAAAGAGCCTGAGATTCGCGACACGCTTGCGCAGAAGCTGGAGGTTTGTGAGGAAGTATGATTCGTATGCATCCTGTTTCGTTATGTTCAGGAATAGGCCCAAATCTAAAGATCCTTGGCTTTCGGAAAGACAATCTCCATATTGTTATTCGCAGCTCAACAGGAAGTTTGTTGAACTTATGGAATGCTGTAGTAGCGCAGTTTGTCGTAGTAAAATCTTTGCTTGGTCCACCAATTTCAGCTTTCAGATGTAGCAGCTGATGTCCTACGAAACAAATTCAGCATAGAATGATGTGAAAGCTAGAATGAGACAAACCATCTTGTGTTGCGAAGTTCACGTCCAATGTTCCAGACACTCTTGGGAAGAGCAACTGGAGCTTTTGGAACGGCGATATCACCGCTTTGTAGATCTTGGAACTCAGCGACAGAGTTGGCAACAAAGATGGAATAGTATTCCGTCCTTGAAGCGGGGGGCCAGAGTCAATCAAGGGCTGTTGACTAGGCATCATGTGCCAGGTGGAAATGGTGCATTGGCACCCAAGGGTATACGTTGAGGTTCAAGTAGAGGAGAGGCAATGGGGTATGTCAAAGTTCAAGGAGTAACAAAATCTTTCAAAGTACCTAGAAGTAGAAAATGAAGAGGTTTGTGTGTGAGAATAGCTTTGCGTTTGGATGGTTGGCAAGGTTGGCAAGGTTGGCAAGAACAGGTGTGCAGCAACTGCTCGGTAACTGGCAGAAACCACCAGGTAACATGCACCTCTGTTTATGAAAACAGTGGGCCTTCACATGAGAGTTTTCGCAGCGTGAACTGAGATAGATCTAGATAAATTACCTAGATACCTGAACGGCGTACATCAGCTTTAGAAAGCTACGATCTCTTGAGCGGCCTATCCATACATGGGCAAAGCTGTTGCCTGAAATAAGACAGTATGCTTCTTTTATAGCGCTGCTTATTCCTCCGCAAGTTACCAAAATTTAGTTATATAAATTAAGTTCTTTCTCAAAAAATGGTCAGAGAACTTGTCACATATCAGGGGTGGGTAGATTTATGTAAAGAAGAGCAGTGTCCGTTCGGTTTCCTTCTTCTATTGGCCATTTAGGACTTCAGATCATCAAGTGTCAAATTTATAACAACCAAGCGTTTAAGAGTTCCCTAAAAATAAAACTTGGACCGTGTTTTATCTTGCGCAAACAGTACGCCAGTGCAGTAGGTATCCGTTCGAGGGCGAATCACAATAAGACGGGTGCTTGAGCGACAGACGGCTGGCAGCTGTTGGCGGTCCTCGCAGCCAGGCGAAAACTGTTTATGATTCATATTTCAGCGCCCTGCTTCAATCCTTTCCTGAGTTCCGTGCGACTCGGACCTCACACAAAAGTGTTATTGTGCATCCTTGGAGTGTATCTTTCGCAGTTGGTGCGCTCTTCCATGCGCTCAGTTGCTTTCAGCTAGAAAGCCCTCTGTCAACTCTCACGAAGCATCCTGTTCCATACATTCTGGATTCCTCTTTCTTTTAATTACTAACTAGTCGTCATGGAGCATGTCTCCATAGATGGGCGGCGAAGGAACAAAGCATCAGTCCCGATTCTTTATCCGTCGCGCAAGTCAGAGACAGACGCAGCACCCTCCCTTCGACCAGCCTCACCTCCCAAAAGTAACCCATGGGCTCCAGCCAAAAAGCCTCGGGTCAATCCTACATCGCGAATGTTTCCGCCCCTGCCCAAGCCTCAAGCACCATGGTCGCCGGTCAAAACACCTACTGCCAGTATGTCGAGGGCCTCCTCGCTTTCTCCAGGCGAAAAGATATCCATAGATGATACAGTATCGGGTGCGTTCGGACCTGGATCAACGTCCCCTTCCTCCATCACGTCTTCCTCATCTCGCCATATTTTTGAGGCTGCGGCACCACGAGCAACTTCAAAGTGAGCTGATCCTTCTCTGTGTCCACCTATTACCATCAACTGACCGCCTTTAGTCTATGGAATTGTCCTTTCGGCGCTGATGTGGTGGTACGGTCGGGGAACTTAAGCTTTCGAGTCCATCGCAACATTGTGGTACCTCAGTCAGGCTGGTTCCGCGATAACCTGCCACCACCCAACGTGGTAAGTATCCTCTCTTCCGTTCAGCTTGGGATTATTCGAACTCAGAACTCCAGGATGGGACACCAGTTGTGGTGACTGTGGGCTTCGCTCCTGAAACTGTCGCTCATTGTTTACGTTTCATCTATACCGATAGTAAGTGTCGGGGTTATCTAAATCGAGGCATACAGGAACTGATACGTGAAACAGAAGTTGAGATTTGCGACATCGATACCCAAAAGCCCTGGAATGCTGCGCATATTCCTTGTTGCGTCTTGGCGTATACCACTGCTGTCTACTTGCGTATGGCGAAAATGACATGCCATCTTCTTCGCGTGATCGAGAATACTTCCAGTGAACTTGGAGCTCTAATACGCAGAGACCATATCTCTCAAAAGCTGGACTGCTCCCAGTGGGTCCAATTCCCATGGCACTATCAGAGGGCATTGGATATCATCGTTCGGGGACAGCCTCAGAAGCTGATGGTGCCCATGAGACTAGCTATGGCAAGCATCCTTGATGCTGTGCTCTTCTGGGTGGTACGGCACCCTCTTTTTGCCAGCGACCTGAAAACGCCGTGGCAAAAGATTCTGGAAACCAGTATGCATGATATTGCTGAGTATAAGCAGCTGTGCCGAAGCGCCCATCTATTCAATAGTCCGTTGCCAGATGAGTTGGCATTGCTGGAGCTATTCGAAGAAACGAAAGCAGGAAAGGAGCCACCAGAACCTTCAAAGTCAGTGGGGACACAAACAGAAGACGATGGGCCTGACCAAGAATCGAAAGGTCAGAGAAGTGATTTTTCTTTCACTCAGCGCGAGAGGCGAGGCTCGCTGTAACTTTCGACTTATTTGTTTACTTGAGGACTTGAGAAGGAGGCAACATGGTATTTTTATTTTTTATTTTTGGACTTCTGGCTACGACGAACTATATTGTAGACAAAAGAGTTAGAGCCATTGATGACCAGTGGCGGATATTAGCTATTTGTATTCAGAAAACTTTTTAAAAAAATAATAATAATAATAATAATAAAGGCTGGTGTTGGCAACGAGTTCCCGGGTAGAGTAAGAAACTGTATTAGGTCGGCCCTGGGTTGTATTCCGTTCCAGGTTGACCCAGGCTATCAGCTCAAAGATTCAGCTGCGCAACGAGATTCGAAAGTACTTTGCAGCTGCTGTGACCTATCCAGCCAGCCAATAACACCAACATCCCATGACCAGCAAGACTATTTAGATAGAACTTACAGCTGTGCGTGCGTTTCATCTTTACTGACGTTGGATAGAGGATTATGTTCGTTGACTGTCTTTCTCTGGCAATGTCTGGGTCGCCAAAGGAGAAATCAGAATACCAGTAACACTTTTTGTGATTCCCATGTGTTTTGACTTGAGCAGGTGATTTCAAGCGACAAAGGCCACCCTGCCGATTTGGAGAGTAAAGAATCCCCTTCTTTGAGCATTGTCTCCGAGGAGTTACAAAATGAAACCAGATTCCATCGTGTCTAGATGCGCATGTCTCGTGCTGTCGAAAGATCGAAACATTCATTGAACGAGGATGATTTTCCATATATTCTTTTGAGAGGAGTTTATCGTCATTCGCAGCTAAGCATTCGCCAACGACTAGGACAAATTCCGTGCCGATACTATGACTCAGCAACCATATCATAGAAAATCTCAGTGACTCTTACATGGGCGTTGCTTCAATCCCAATCATTCTCTTGTTCAGTGAAGTCGGCTTTGGTCAACCCTGTGTACACATCCGCGAAGTTTACTCCGGCTTTTGAGCTTAGGATGTGGCTGTTGGGTGGTTTCACTCGTATGATCTTGAACTTGGCCCGTCCTGGCTTTGCCGTGTTGTAGGTCAGCCCCGAGTCACTAAATGCCCAGTCTTGTGTCTCGTCATCCCTGATCAAGATCAACACCAAGGCATGTTGAAGTCGGTAAGGTGTAGGTAAGTTGCATGTTTCCTGTTTGAGTCGCCCAACTTGATATGTGTGAAATGCAAGATGTGGTCGGGGAAGAAGAGTCGAAAAAGGAGAAACATCTTAGTGGTATTGTTGGAGGATACCACCGAGAACAATAAGCTACTTAGAGACAATAGGCCAGGAGAGTGGTGTGTGTGCAAGCCGGAGGAGTGGGGTTGAAGAAGGAGAATAAATAAGGCAGAGGTTCAGCATCAGAAGATCCTATCTGTAAGAAATAGGAATCTAGGCGACAGCGATGATTCACAATACGTGACTCTTAGTTTCATATGAGATAACAATATTTCACTTGACTATATAAAGCGAGGCCTCTCTATCATTTCAAACTTATATTATTTGCCAGCGCTTATATCAACCTAAGGTATCCTCGAGCCTTCGATGAACGACAGAACCCCGCTTAACAGCCTGTGCTCAGAGAATACATAATACTTCAGCTCTCTACCATCGAGATAATACCCCCGGTGTGGCTCGCAGCCTTGAGATTCTCTGCTCACCTTACAGCATCTCATCTATCGACAATATCCCTGGCGTGGATCGTGGCCTTCAAATCATCTACTCGCCTTGTGTCATCTCATTCATCGACAATGCCCTACGTATACAAACCATCGATCTTGAAAAGCTTGGGCATCCCGACATGGGAACAAGTCCGGATGATGGGCGCAGAGGGACTGCGCGAACAACAGCGCCACCGTCAAGAGGCAGAAGTCAGTATCATCACAAAAGTTTAGACAACAACCTTTTACTAATTTGGTTATCAGGAGGGAATTCAAGCTGAGAAGCAAAATTCCGGTAAACAAAAGGACTCACCTGAAACACCTGCCAAGGTAAGGGCGCTTCTTTCGAGTACAGGATATTCGCTGACCAGGTGGATCTTTAGGAACCAAGAGAGAAGTATGATGACCCCACGCAGAGAGACAATCAAGGTGATACCTCTGAAAGTGATACCTCTGAAGGCGGTGTCTCCATCAAGGACGATGATGTCCTCGAAGAACAGTCAAAGGGGCAAGCCAAGGAGATGAAACAAGTTCGATCTATGGTTGCTGATTTGGAAGTGGAGGTGGATCAACTCAAGAAACACACTGATAAACAAGAGGGCCTTAAGGAGACACATCTGGAAGAGGTAGGAAGGCACAACTCTTTGTTGACATCCTCCATGGAAGAGAACAAGAGCTTGAAGTCTTCCGCCCCCCCCCCCCCCCCCCCCATCAATCACCAGCTGGTGTGAGTCCAGTCGCCACGGCAGGTGGTGAGGCTCCTGAATCCGTTGAGGGTGCCTCTGGCGATGGGTCTAAGCCATCTACCTCTCAAACTAGCGACTTCAAGACGGAAACATCTACTCCTGAGCCTCTGAGTATCCCGTGTGGTCTATACGGGACTATCAATGCTGGGCCTAGCATTCCTCTCGATGGACGACAGGAATCGCTTAAACTCAAGGCCTCCGTTCAATCGTCCCCAACTCCCACACCAACACGAAAATTCACCGTCGGTGGTTTACCCAGGTCCAACACGCCCAGGACGCCTTCCAATCGTTCATCCTTGTTCGACGACCGTACCTGCGGCAAAACTGATCCAAGACGGAAACAGCACAAAGGCAGGCCGCCTGAGACCATGAGGGAAACGTCCAACAAGGACGGGAAGTAAATCAGAAGAGTACAGCGTCAAAAGATCTGCGATTGGGCAATGATATTCGGCCTCGAGTTGAGATTTGGGCGGTCAAGAATCGTATTGGGACAATGGAGCAACTGTCAACTGTCTTAGAGCTTAGGTAGTAGAACTTGCAGTCGAGGAGCGGCATAGCAGATTTCGCCCTCCACTATTAGCCAGCCGAACTGAGATACTTTTCATCTTGATTCCGATAGCACGGTAGATTCACATTTGCCTCCTATCCTCACTAGCTTTAAGGAAGTTTTTTTACTCTTGAATTAATGCTATGATGTTACTTATGTTTTGAAGAGTATGAAGAATGCAATCCATATAATATGGATCTCCCATCCAATATGAACTCTTATGTAGTTACCACCACCTTATTCAGAAAAGGCACTTAGATCCTGAGAATGTCTCTCCATAGATGACGAATTACAAGAGTTTGATGTTATCAAATGGGAAATCAATGGGGGCTTCTGGCTAAATCTCTCTTCAATAATTATACACATACCTAGTCAAGACAGAATCACCCAAGGGGCCATGTTATCTTAAATGCTGCGTATGTTCTTATGCAACGAGTATTCAAAAAGAGGAGGCTATTCCGAATCACTTGGAAAGAAATTTCATTTCCCTCCAGCCCCATAAATTAATTGCGAAATTGACAATAATCCGGCCAAAAATGACCACCCAAAACTCAGAAATGGTGGATTGAATTATTAAGCCTAGCTTCTCTCAAACCCGAGGCTCTGAACCCTCTGAATCATCTCCTCCGACCCCTGAGGCTCAGACAATTCCTGTTTCGCGAGCTTATAAACCTCCGTGGACTATTCATGGCGTTTCTTTGTCATTCCTTCCAGCATTTTCAGCATGTGGTCCATTGCTGCATGGGCACGTCGTTCTAAACGCAGATCGTCCCCCCAGGCTTCGACGCTGCATACAAATGCATCCCCGGCACGCTTCTTGTCTTCATCGGTAGAATTCTCTGCATCCACAACTGCCAGAAATTTCCCAAGACATTCTTCTACGTTCTTGGGCAGTAAACCAGGAACTGAACTTTCAGAGTTAGCGCATTCTTAGAGAATCCTAAGCGTTCATCGTCCATCCAGAATACTGACCTGAGGAGTTCTGGTCTGGTTTCTTGGCGGGAGTAGGCTTGTCGCTGTTCTTTTGATCCATGTCGACTATCGATGCGCAAAGAGGCGTTTGATAAGGATAAGACTTTTGAAAGTTGAGGTATGCACGCCCAGGTGACGGTTTGAAGGCAAAGAGGTGTATTATAGTATAGGAAGGTGTTCAGTGTTAAGTCTCTAGTAAACTTATCTCGATGTTAAGTTAAAAGGAGGAATTGTTTTGTTTCTGCCGATTGAATTTATCAATTAAATATTAGATTGCCAGTGCCTGACAGTGATTCACTGCATCTTAACAGGCTGGTCTGGTGCCGAAGAGTCCTGGGTATTCATGTATTTAAGGGGCATTCAATTTATAAATCTCATTCCTCAATTATTTATCTCTAATAACCCTAGTTTTTCCATCGACATCAGTACCTTTTCCCAGTGTTCCAGAATATTTACTGATTGTGATACCAGCGTGTATACCTAAACTGAGACAACAGCCACTTATCCTTGAAGTTATCCCCATTCTAGTTTACACCCGGGTCTGTCCTGAATTTTGCCTGTGCATCGCCGACATGGAAAATCTGCTACAATATGAAGGCTGCGATGTCGATGAGAAGCCGGGCACCATAGCATTGGCTCCCTGGGCCCGTCACGAAGCCAATCGTCGCTGGGCTATTATCACCCACTCTGTCACCGACATGAGCGCCCGTGTAGCACATGAGATAACCTATCATTGACGAACTGATGGCATTCATAGATTGAGGGTCCTATCAACTGGATGCCAAAGAGTTGGAGGTCTTCGTATGGGAGCGCGACTTCTACGATTTGGAAAGGGGCGATGCGGACTCCATCACACAAGCATCATTCCACCGCACAACCAAGATTAGGGGTCGATTTCTTACCAAGTGCTGTATCTCACAGGATGGTCAAGATCACATCATTCCTCAAAAACGAGAGACCGCCACAGAGGTCGTGGCTGAAACCATGATCCGAGTCATTAACATGGATCAGGATGAAGCTGAGGTTCTCTCGGAGGTTCGCTAGTTCCAAGAATTGACTGCTGAGAAGCTTGGAGTCAATTGGGGAACCGGTGATGGTGCGTTTGGGGTGGGCCAAGGTTCGAACAAGAAAACCTCAAGATCTCTGAACGACATCAAGTCTTAGGATCTATATCCTAAATTATGCAAAGATTTAGGCAAGCTTAGGATAACAAGGTGGGTCTTTAGACTTGTAATTCCAAGTTATACTAAACTTACCTAAGGTTTCTTGCCGCTGCGCTGATGCGTGCAGGAGTCATCAAGCCGTCGTTGTCAGAGAAATACGGGCACAGAACATCCAAGAACACCATCTCACAGCACATAGTCAACACTATCAAAGATTTAGATGCGCCTGTGCACCCAAGGGCTTCCCAAGTCCCGGGAGATGAGCGCAATGCGCCTATCTCGTCTGTTGTTTTTAAAGACCTGTATCATCTTCTTGATCAAGGTATTGTGACTCCCAAACCAAAGTGGAGGGCGTCGCCTCAACGAGAAGCAAACTACTCGAACCTCATAGAGAGCCCCCCAAGATTCGGCAGATACAAAAAATCATGTTTCAAGTTCAAGGGGCTTGCAAATATATTACACCTAGGGAAGTTCTTGTTCGAGGTGAAACGAGGAAAGGGGCCGAAGAAACAAAGAGCATAGAGTGAACGAGAGGACAGCGACTTGGCGGAAACTCAAATAGAACTGCACAACATCGAACGATGTCGAAACAAATTACACCATGGCTCCTGAAGAATGCCGAAGTCAATACCATTTCTGATGTATGGTAAAAGAACATTCTGGCCAAGACCGAAACGATCCCCCAGGACAACATCGATATAAAAGACCGCGAGAAGACTTGAACTGCTAACTCTACGAATGATGAAGCACATAGGCCGTATAGGCGGCGATAATTTGACACCATAATCCAAAATACAAAAGGACCAAGGCAAACTTAGAGTAATTTAGTAGGTCTTTAGACTTATTACCTATCTGTAAGCTGTGTTAAACCTGTTTGAATCTTTTTTTCTCTGTTTCAGATAGAGATCTTAGGGCCGTCTCTTGTTCCTTAGGCATAATAAGTAGCCCGATATTCATCTGTTAAATTCCCCGATTTGATCTTCGTCGAGATTCATAAGGTCAAGCGAAGAAGCTCGAACTCTAGCCAACTTCCAGAGAATGCTGCCAGTCGATTTGGGAGGCTATTTCAAACACGATATCTTAAGGAAGATTAATCCCGCTTGCCTTCGAATCACTTTCTGTGGGCAGAAACTTCGCAATGAAGGATGCAAACCTGAACCAATGTCGTTAGAAGTAGTTAGGAAGACCTGGCGACCAATGAAACCAACTTTTATGTTCACTTGAGCAATATTTATCGCTGCATTCTGGTAACAGTTGAAAGCTCGAAGGACTCTGTCTAATCTCTCTTGCGTATATCCGAGGTGAGTTTCTTCGAACTTTGCGTTAAAGGTAACTCTCTCCATTTCAAGAATGGAAGTGTAGCACTGTAATGAATTTCTGGGTTATTGAACCACAAAGTTAGCTCTTCGTAGAGCTCGAGTGGTATTTCCAGAGCTCTGGGGCGAGCGATAGGAAGGTTTGACATGGTAATAGCTCTCGCAATCGTGGGATAGCTCTGGTCCAGAATCTGGAAGTCTGAAAAGAAAGATGTTTGACTTTGTGAGAAAGAAGTTACCAGCTCGTGGATGTGAGAGGAAAGAAATATCAGAGTCTAAGATGAGATATGTGGTGAAGAGAGAAACTATGAACGATTTCTGGTTGTCTCCTCTTGACAGTGATTCACTGTCACTGCCGCCCTGGAAAGTGATTTAACCTGACCCTGGCGTCGGGTAAGATGTTTAAAGAGGATCTTCCCTCACTTCCCATTTCTTCTTTCTTTCACCTCTCCATCCCCAGGCTAAGAGACTTATCTCTAGTAGGCAGCTGCCTGGTATTCAGTCTTCTTCTCCACTCCCGAATTTTTTGTTTAACTGAAACTCGACAGAGCATTTCTCTTGACAAACTGGACACCAAATGTATCACCTGTGGCTATACTATACGTAAGTAATGACACACGGCTTCTCTTTCATGACTCGACTGACTTTAAAAAGGCCAGCCTCGCTTTACAATCCACAGCACTCCCCTACCAACGCCAACGTTGAGTGTGAGCATACTCTGTTATTCCAGACTATCTGCATAAGTCATACTAATCAAATGCAAAGTCGCCATGGTCGATCCAGCCACTATCACTCCTGCCGAGTGGGAGTCCCTTGATCTAACTGTCAGTAGAAGTTATGGCCACATGCAATAAACTCTTTCGCCGAGAGAATCTTGACTGCGGATGCCATCATCCAATTCAACAAGGGCCTATGTATGGGGGGCACTCTGGCACCTAACCAAAGTCTTTCCCGATGCCTTATGTCGCCCGTTGATCTTCCGGTTTTGTGAGATGGCGTCCAGGATGACATTCGAAGACGACAGTTCGTTACAATCAGCCATCCTAGACGCGTATGAGATAACCGAAGGAATGATGGGCAGTCCATTCCCCACGGTCAACAAAGTATTGCCACTAAGCGCAGATACAACACTGTACCTTGCGTCAGCCAGAGTGTCATACGACGGTCTCATTCTGAAGTCACTCGATAACACGATTGAAAGCTTTCATCTCGATTGTCGAACGAACGAACATGACACACCAATCAGCTCTGCTAGACTGATTTCCGAGCCTGCAGAGACATCAAATGTTCACATGTCAAGCGAGTTGGTGAAAAATAAGATTCAAGCAGGCGCGATGAAAATGATAGCGCCATCGCGTTCCTGGCGTGATTATCTTTCCAGGGACAACGAGTCGCTGCCATCATAAACAAGTTCATGCGGAGGACCACTGATGCCATTTGATTGCTGAAGCACCGGCCAGGAGGAAAGAAGAGTCTAGTGGGCGTTGGGAAATTGGGCATTGCGGCATTACACAGGTCGGTATGTTCGCTTACCAAACGGCCTCAATTGTTTTTGTTTCGGGAGACATGCATGACACAGGTAGCCTCGGAGACTGGCTAAGCTGGGGAACGGTAGCTATGTTTAATGGGTTTTTGCTGTTTGTATTATATATAGCTGGTTTCCTCATACGTTGCCGTTCACTGGCTGTCTGTGCCTAACGACAAGCTTGCCTTGTCCCGCTCGTGCTGCTAGTTGCTGACTATTTTGAAATCATCGGAGAACCATTGTAATATTTCTTAGCTTCGTAAATGAGTGTGTCATGTAGTTCATTTGCGGTGATACGGGCCATGCTGATGCTCATATATAGTTTTCTGTGGTTGGTCATTGGGCCAGTCTTCTTTCGAGGTCGATTTCTCTCTTCTGTATGCCTCCTCAAGGCGTGCAGGCTTCACCCACATTATCCGACTTTTGTCAACTGCGTCTGGTCCAGCCCTCGAGGAGCAAGAAAACACTAGACCTTAATATAGGGTATCAAAATAAACTCAGCAAAGAATATCCTAAATTTAGGTAAATTTACCTAAGCCTTTTTGTCATTTAGGATCAAGGGGCTGAGTTTTCTTTCCTCCCCTAGCCAGCACAGGCCCCGGCCAACAGAGAGTGGCCATTATGCTGTGTCAACAGAAGGCGTTTAACAAGGTCGCAGCATTGCTTATACTTAGAGAAAAGGTCTTTGATGACCTGTGGGACAGGATTTTTGGTACTAAATCTACCAACTGGACTTGGTTATGCGGTAGATGATGCTTATATTATAGAGTCTGTATCGCCCTAAGCAATATTATTAGATAATAGATAACCAATCATATGTTCATTCATTCATCCTAGAGCATTCGTCTGTCGGAACCCTCTAATACCCGTTGAAGCCTGCTCGAGCCCATCTCGAGCATCATTATAATACCATCCATCGTTCCATCATAACACGTTTCAATAATCATAAAAAAGCATAAAACATAAACCAGTTTTGGGTTTGGCAATATCGCCTGAATTAGTGTGTTTGTTGCAAGACCCTGGAACATCTTCATAGGCTGCTGGGTAACGGACGAGTGGTTCGAAAGAAACCTTCCATCCGCGTGGTAGTATGCACGTCAGTTTAAGTTAATTTCGCGACCAGACCCCTGCTCAATTATGTTGTGCCCTTGCATCGCTAGGAGTGGCCACGGCGCTTGTAAGTCAATCCAGAAACACTGAGGTTGTGCCATATCTAAAGAGCGTGAGAAACGATCTCTGCATAGACATCGTCGGGTATCTTCTTGATAATGCCAATTGTGACGGATTTGACGAGATCAGCGTTAAGCTGTGGGAAGGATCTTAAGACCTTATTTGGGCTATTTGGAAATCAGCAATTATTTGAGTCAGGCTTTCGCATAATCCTTACCTGGGCGACTGAAGAATTTGAGTCCGCATAATTGTAAGCTGCGCGACAATGCAGACGATATTGAGATGAGGACCATAGGCGAACAAGAAGTCCCACAGTCGTAGAACCTCGGGAAGCGGTGGTGTACATGCACAAAGCGTCAGAACTGAAGGGAAAGCGTAGATCTCAGCCGAAAGGCCCTTCGCAGTAAGGTACATGCTGAGCTTGGGATCAACAATAGCAAGGACCTTATCAACCAGTGCAAGGCCGCGATGTACGCCGTCCATGGCACCGCGAATATAGCCCGGGCATTCTCGAGTCAACAAGGAGTGGAACGCAACGAATGCTTCTGCTTCACTCCGAGCTGCGTAAAGAAATGGTGCTGCCAGAACGTTCATACCCTGAACATAGGTGCCGGGTTCTAGAGTCGCAGCGCCTGCGCCGGATTCAGAGCCCTCGGTCGTAAGTGTCAAGGCCCGCGCGCGACTGCGAGCAGTTGGTGATGACGTGCTTGTGCCTGACTGAGAACGACCGGAGACGCTACTACCGCCGGGGAGTGAAGCTCGACTACTACTAGGGCGGCTTTGGCGTTGTTCCTCACGCGCATCATGCAACTTCCACGCAATGGCGTTAAGTAAACGAATCAGACTTGCTTCACTGACACGGCGGCGGAAGAGAGGGTCGGTCGTAAGTGTGCGGAAGGTGTCGTTGCGGATCTTGGAGTAAGCCGGCGAGGCTCCTCGGTGGATAAGGGCGAGGTAGTCATCGGTCGACAGGATAGGAGCGTCCAGGAGGACGAGCCAGACGTATATTCTCAATGTTGACTACCCAAGACCGCTGTTAGTGCACCATGCTGGGGAGTACTTGAACAGTCCTCTTACCATGCCATCCTCAGCACTCTTGACACCTTCATCGATAACCTTCCACCGTGCGCTCTCCAAAGCGCCCAAGAAATCACCATCTGTTGGGCCTTCGCGGATAATTTGATGAAGAGGTAGATGGCCATGCGAGAATACGGGTTTCTTACTCCCAGCACGCTTGCTGGCTGTGACAACATTCATCTGGTGAATGAGTGGCGGGGTGGCATCGCTATTAGCGCGCCCGCGCTGAGGTGAGCGATTGATATTCTGGGAGAGGCTGGGTGTGCCTGAAGCAGCAGGAGGCGCTTGTGACGGTCTTGTAGGTGAAGCATTGCGCTGGGTGTCGCGGTGGCGTTGCTGGGAGATGAGCGAGGGCGTGCCTTGCTCGCGAGCGCGGGCTCCAAGAGTGTGCGCAGATTGAAGGCGTCGAAGGGCGCGATGAGTCCGCGGCGATGGCGGGGCCTGGAGTTGTGTTGTAACCGGGGCGGGGAGTGAGGGGATGGCCGATTTGAAGGTAGAATTGGAGTTCGAAGGCGGCTCCATGGTTGCGATGGTTGAGGAGAGTTTGTCAAGCCACGATCAAAGGGGTTGTTAAACGACAATACATGCGAGAAAGAGCCAGATAGCCGAGTTGATGGGGATATTAATTAGGGCTGATGACGCTGAGAACGGGTTTTAGTCGTTCGGAGCGCTGTATTAGATTAGCGGGGAGGCTGGAGGCTGAGTTGAAGTGTGAAAGGGACGTGATGTGGATGCAGGGACAATGATGAATCGTGTTGGTTTCGCGTTCTTCAATTAACCTCTACAACTAAGACCTATTGATATCTACCTATCTTGCTCAGGCTGACCACTATCACCACTTGTTCTTATAGCAGATCCTATAAACTTTCAGTCGATATATTTTTACATTCGATAACTCGTAAGGCTGTTTGGCCTCTTACTTTAGATGTCCTGGTGTTTGCCAGCCCATGACATTAGGAATGCACATCATTTATCAAGAGGTTGGGTTTCAGGTGTGGTATTTTGAAGCCGGATCGGAGCTGGATGGACCGATTCGCCGACTTATCAAACACCTAGAGACGGGTGTTTATGCAAGCAAGTATTGGATTGGTAGGTTTAGGTACTTACCTACCTAGTTACAGATACTACCTTACCTTTAGCATGCACCAAAATTTTAAAATATACCTAGTCATCTAGGCATCGACTCTATATGATTTTTATGTTTTTAGATTGTGGCAAACTCCGGAAATTGAAGAAAGGTATTATTTAGGTAATTTACATAAACTAGGTAAGTGGGTAGGTAATTCTGAGTAAAAACTCTCAAAGTTGGATAACTTCAGGTTTCTTGGTCTGTTACCTGCTTTGATAATAGCACGACCGTAAGTTCTTTTTCTTTTTACTGCATTACTTATGCCTTGGTTATTACGTAGTGCTTGCCGATTAAGAAGATGTCTTAGAAGTCTATAGTATTGGAGATGTACATAGTAGGTAGGACGGTACCTAGTTGTGGAAGTAGGTTGGGGCTCTCTTCTAAAGTAAGAAGAATATCTAGGTAAGTTTAGGTAAGTTTAGGATATATTTAGTATAACTTTTAATTAGTGAACATCAGCATCCTGCTCAGGTTGAGGTCTGAAGTTGGTCTTCTTGCTCTATCTTACCGGCTTACCTTAGGTATCATATCAAAGAGAAACTGTCATTGCCGTATGATCGACGATTATCTAGAATATTTGCTGACACTAACTTATGGTCGCAAATCTCGGAATATCGCTAGTTGTGTCACAATCATGGTTTTCTGACTTGGGACTACAGGATCTCAGACGTGGGGTTTGATACACTTATTTTCCTGATCTTGTTACGCTATTACCGTGAAGGGGAAAGTGGCGATTGCGACATCGAAAAAACACCCATTTTTATATCATGCTGAATGCTCACAAGCTGACCAAGCGCCACACGACATTTGCCATTTATTCAGAAAAAGATGGAGAATCCGCTGAACAGAAGCCATGACAACACATTCTGCCCCTCCATGTCTCCTCTCCACACAATGCCGATTACCGATGGCCCGGGGATCACTAGTTTCACCGGGCTCATCATGAGTTTTACCACTCTTTAAATACAAGATTGAAGCCCTTGCCACACCACAGCACTGGTCTTCTTCGACTTACAGCCTTCTTACTTTACCTTTTGAAGTAGTCAGGTTACACAGTTATCCCAGCTACAACGCATAGATTCCTGTTTTACTGTCTCCCAATTTTGAGAACTCATTATCCCACGTTGCAACCTCCAACGATTATGTCGCCTTACACCCCACGATATTCGTCATCGGCCTAAACTGAGACCCCAGACCACAAGATCAAAGATCAACATATTTGCTATTATCCTATTTGCAAGAAGAATAGTCCTAAGCCAGCTACTGTCTACCATACGCCTTCTTAGACAACTCAGACCTCCACGCCTCTAAATGAATTTGGTTACCTGCAGCTGGTCCGGTGATCACTGACTGCTTCCCTTCAGAGCAGGTTTCACATCATTAGGATCAGAGCTGACAGACACATACGAGCGATGGTTCTGCCTGAGCTAGCGACCGCTTTATATTGAAAAGAAGCTAAAGGGCGAGGTCATCCTTGGCTGCCGTAGTCTGGATCTTCTCTTCAAAGGAAACAGATTCTTGACATCAACCGATACACATGATGCTAGGCCACACAAATCCATTGGGCAGGGGGGTGGCTAACATTCTGGGCATCAAACTCGAAGATCAAAAACAAGGCCTACAAGCTGAGATACCAAGCAGTTCATCCATCGCTTCAGAGCAAAGGCACAATTCGTTCTACGAAACTGAACCCACATCGTCGGAATGGATTAAAGAGCAGGTCCCGTCGAAGGAGGAGGTTGTCGCATATGCAGCTTCATTATTCCCATTCGCGTCTTGGATCAGCCACTACAATATGCAATGGTTTGCGGGTGATTTGGTCGCTGGTATCACCATAGGTGCTGTAGTCGTTCCACAAGGCATGGCCTATGCTATTCTCGCAAACCTGGAACCCCAGTTTGGCCTCTACTCGTCCTTTATAGGGGCGTTGATATACTGGATATTCGGTACCTCCAAGGATATATCTATTGGTCCCGTTGCAGTCCTTTCGACTGTCGTTGGGAATGTTGTTCAGGATGTCCAAGATTCGGGACAAATCGTCCAGGCCCATGTTGTTGCGTCAGCGTTGTCAGTTATCGCGGGCTTCATTGTCCTCGTCATCGGACTACTGAGGTGCGGATGGATAGTCGACCTCATTTCCATCACCTCTCTCTCAGCTTTTATGACGGGCTCTGCCATCACAATTTGCGTCGGCCAACTACCAGCACTTCTCGGTCTGTCAGGATTTTCAAACCGAGACCCCCCATACAAAGTCTTTGCAAATACGATCGAACATCTCGGAGAAGCAGGTTACGATGCCGTCGTCGGAGTCTCAGCCCTATCGATTCTATACCTTATCCGTCAAGGTTTCACCGCTGCGGCAGAACGATACCCAAAGCATAAAAGACTATTGTTCTTCACAAACACAATGCGTACGGTTTTTGTTATTTTAGTGTATACAGTAATGAGCTGGGTCCTCAATATGCATAGAAAAGACGATCCCTTATTCAAGGTTCTAGGGGTAATTCCAAAAGGTATACTCAACCCAATCCATCTACTTGAGTCAAAAAACTAACAACGGAAAAGGGTTCCAGAATATTGGGGTCCCAAGACTAACGACGGAGCTCATTTCGGACTTTATTCCATATCTACCAGCTACCGTTATTGTCTTGCTTGTTGAGCATATGGCGATTTCCAAGTCGTTTGGGCGTGTCAACAACTACACCATTGATCCATCTCAAGAAATGGTTGCCATTGGGATGGCTAACCTTGTTGGTCCATTCCTTGGGGCATATCCAGCTACAGGCTCATTCAGTCGTACTGCAATTCAGTCGAAAGCTGGCGTACGAACCCCTGCTGCTGGGATAATCACTGGACTGGTAGTTTTACTTGCAACGTACCTGTTGACCGATGTCTTCTTTTATATACCAAGTGCCGCTCTTGCGGCCGTCATCATTCACGCCGTGGGAGATCTCGTCACACCTCCCAACACAATTTATCAGTTCTGGAGAGTTTCACCGATCGAGGTGTTCATCTTCTTTACCGGTGTTATCGTCAGTGTCTTCGCTCAAATAGAAGATGGGCTATATGCTACCGTTCTCCTTTCAGGAGCTGTGTTTATCTACCGTATCCTGAAGGCCAAAGGCAGGTTTCTTGGCAAAGTCAAGGTTCATTCGGTCATTGGCGACCATGTTATTGGTGATGATCACCGAAAGGTCGTTGGGGAGTACGGCACAATCGAGGATTCCGATGTCTCTGCAAGAAATGTTTTTATCCCCCTTGGTCATGGTGATGGCTCGAACCCCGAAGTTGAAGTTGATCATCCATATCCCGGAATTTTCATCTACCGCTTTTCTGAAGGCTTCAATTACCCCAATGCCAACTCGTCTCTGGACTATCTGACCAACTTCATTCAGTCCAACACGCAACGCAGCAGTCCCGAAGCTTTTGAACGACCAGGCGACAGGCCGTGGAATAACCCAGGGCCGAGGAAATCTGCAAAACGTCCTGTTAATTCAGATCCAGACTCTGCACTTCCGACATTAAAAGCCGTCATCTTGGATTTCAGTTCTGTCAACAACGTTGACATCACCTCGATTCAACGACTGATCGATATCCGTAATCAGCTCGATTCATATGCCTCTCCTGACGGTGTAGATTGGCATTTTGCTTGCATAAATAACCGATGGTCCAAGAGAGCATTGGTGTCAGCAGGGTTCGGAGTCCCATACAAACCCAACGAAGGCACAGCACCTCGAAGATGGAAATCTATTTTCAGCGTAGCGGAAATCGGAGGCAAGGACTCTGCTGCAGCAATCGCTCAGGAGACGGACCCCGACGAAATGACACCAAAACATATGGATAATACAGACGAAGAGCCCTTGATTGGAGGATTTTCCTCGGTAAAATCCTATGGCTCAGTGTCATCAGGAGACCTCGAGAAGCAGAAGCGGAGAGGTGCTGTTGTTCATGGCCTGGACAAACCACTATTTCATGTAGACTTGACAAGCGCGTTGCAGAACGCAATAACTAATGTGGAAGAGAGGACGATATCAAGAGAAACAGCACACGATTAACAGCTGGATGGAGTACGGATAGACTTGCTGACGTTTCGGCGCATAACACGAAGGGGAAGCATTTAGCGAGCGATTATTACCACTATGTTTACCTAAAACAGTATTTCGTAACGAGATCATGAGATTATGAGATATTCTGTCGTTTTACTATTTTCTTTTGATAAACCCCATCATGCTGATAGTATTGCATCCGGATTAGAATCGCCTCTTCTGGCATGGTCACAGCGTCTCAACTAATCGTTAATGTCTCTAGTTTAGTTATTCCCATACCTAGTCAAAGAAGTTGTGTGTACAGTGAGTTGTCCAACGTAATCTTCGTTTTGCAGAATTCAAACGCCGTGGAGGCTTTCAGCAATTTCTTGCCACAAACCACTATAGCCAGGCCAGTGCCGACGTGCTTATTGCCTAACCATCGACGATCTTTTGCTTAAGGGATTGGGCCGTCATCGTGTACTACCATTGAGGTTTCCAAATACCAGTTACATCAGGTGTCAAATATAAATCCTGACTAGAGAGCCGACAAATTGGGCTTTTTAATGTCCTACGTTAAGTGAGTATTCTTTTCACTTCAGATTATACCTGTAAATGATCTGCATCTGCTAGCCACTATTGTATTGAATCCACGTTAGTGGTCAGGAGCGGCAGCTAGTGCTTATTGTTAGCATTCATATAAGATGCTAATTGAGGCCTCGGGGAGCTAAGAGAAAATCTCCAGTATTTAATCAAGGTGCCAGCCCAAATAACTTATCCAAAGATCTCCTAACATTAGGTAAGGTACTACTAAAGTTGCTCAAGTCTATTCTAAACTTGCATAAACTTTCACCTCGGGTGGGTGTATGGCCTGAGTCTTCTCTCCTCCCCCAGCTGAGTTACCTGTAACTGGTAGGTAGGTACCTACTTAGGTTGTTGGCACAATCTCGAGCGATAGTTCCTATTTTGCGGAATCAAAGCTCCTTTTGTAGGACGACCACAAGTGAAGAACTCTTCGTATTCCTTTTGTTACTCGTCTTCACTTGAGGGCAGCGTACACGCACTCAGTCTTGTTGGATTGGTGAGACTGCTTCATGGCCGAGTCTTCTCGCCCAGGTGAGGGTCGTGGTCATGTTCGCTGGGGGCGCATAGAAGAGCATTACCTGGTGTGTATAACAGCTATCTCACCATCAGCACTTAACTTACAACCAGCAGGATCCTCCGCGGTCTCGCAGGCGAGAGATCAGATATCCCATTGGGCGAAGTACATTCGAGAGAGCCGATGTTCCTGCGGACTGGGCTCGTGTTACTAATGATGCTCAATGGGTAGCCAGGACGTCTTCTCGGTGGTCTACAGATGACGTTCCGGTACAGACCTACACTGAGTGGGAAACCTTTGCTGAGCTCCCGATCCAGGGTTCAGCTTTACCTGATGGAGACCATACTGAGTCTCCACCCCCAATTGAAACTTATGGCGAGGATGAAGAAGAAAGCCCGAGACAGAGGCAATTCTCTTATGACAGAGGCAACTATGGCCGTCGCTACAAAAGCCGGTCAAGATCACCCATTCACCCACGCTACAAGATCCCGGGACGTGAGGGATATCTGTCTCGTGATGCTCTCTCGCGCACTGCAGGATATAATGGTGACTGGTATTCTAGAACAAGGGGCGGGAGCCTTTCAAGCAACGAATATGATCCTTACGATAAGTTTGCTTTCTCATCGCGGGCCCAGTCGATCACAGATTCCTCGAAGGCAGACGATTCTGATGCCGAATCTCCTGAGTCTGAAGAGACAAACATTGTTATGGGGCCTTCCAGCCTCAGAAGGACGAGTCAGCATCTAATTCACGCTCTCAGATGACACTTGTTCATTCTTCGGCGTATACTGGGAATGCCGAAATGGGTGGTTCTCATGCAGCAGTATTAAATCTTGTTCATGATCCCAAAGGACAGAAAAGTCCTCTATTCCGCTGGCTGTAAGGTTTTTTAAAGTACTCAGGGGAAGAATCTATAGTTGTACTAACTTTGACCAGCCATGTTCCCCAGGACGTGATGAACTTTGAAGATTTCTGGGTAAGCCAGCTTCTTCATGTGCATACGCTTTAAAGCTAACGATTCGTGTTAGGTTGAAATTAGCCGGATCTCCGGATTGACAGAGCTGGAGAAAAAAAGCCGTAACGAGGCTTCGTGCTGATGTCAAAAAGTCCTGTGTGAAGTCTAGGACCAATTCTAAAGGTGCCAAGGTTGGATACTTGGATCCAAAATACGTCGAGGTACCATTGAAACCACTGAAAACCGAGGCGATGTCGTCCAGTTCAGTGTCTGGCTCAGCACGGTGGATTTGTATTCCCTTCTTCTCACTCGAGCAGTACTCTGGTCTACTCGCAGGTACCAGCACATCTCTTTTTCCAGCTCAGACCTTGCTGCAAGTCCAGTACTCCCGAAACACTGTGGCAAGGGACATGGAGCAAGCGGTGGTTCAGCTGGGAATCGCAGAACGCGGAGAGTGCTTCCATGTATCTCAACTGTGGTGCCTTGTCATTGATAACAGTAACGACCCCTTCACTGATTGAATAGGAAAGTCACTGACGATTAAAAAATATAAAAAGGCTTGATAGTAACATGTGGGACGATGACTAGAGACGATTTGCTCGGCCAAGGGCTTGAGATTAAAGAACGCCCATCTCGTGCTGTAGTCAATGAATGCAACGGCCGAATCTTGGTGGCATACGGCGATTCGGTTGTTTGGTCGTTTGATGCCGATGAGTGCCAGGCGTGGTTTGTAAGTCGTACTTCCTCGTCCAATAACAGATCTGACACTCTATACCAGGCATTCCTATCCAAGTTCCAAGCATTCTGGCCTAAAGTTCCAGAGTTCTGGTACAAGGATCAAGCCGTCACAGCAAACGCATGGCCCAGAATACTCAAATTGGCCTCGGCCGTCAGGGCGATGTCACTTAAGATCACCATGAAGCTGGGCTCCAAGCCTGACCCTCCCCCACGAGCCATTCTGCGGCCAGATCCTCAAGTTCTCACAAGTACGCATGGTGGAAAGGGCAAACCAGGGACACAGGAATTTACTCATATGCTGTCCTTGGCGACATGGGATGGCAGAGGTCCTCAAATCCAAGTGACTGGTTTCAAGCTCCTTGAAGCTCAGCTGGATGCGGCTGAGACTTTCTTAACATGTGATACAACCTATACGGATCGGAAGGCATACAAGACCTGCAAAGAAGCTTCGAGAAAGGAGTGCTATGACTATCTGGTCGAGTTATCTGGTCGAATCGAGGAAGCTGAGAGTGATTCTTTACGACGTGCGTACGAGGAAAGGGTAGATATCTTCAACGCTGTCGATATTGTTTATAGCTTCTTTTTACCCGTGAATTTCCAAGGCCCCATGGTCGGAAAGTTCTGGGGCGCGGTCAGATCTATAACTGAGGTAGGTTATAGGCAGAGATTCTCTATGGTAAGCGTGCTAACCTCAACATGAAGTTAGCAATGCTAGATGGCAGGCCGATTTCTGACATCGCCGGTAGCCTCCGGGTTTCTCTCAGAGACTTGACCCGAAGTCTCCTCGCACTCCAAAATCTCGTCATTCATTCATCGGATCAAGAGCGAGCTGAAGTATAATGCCGCCCGAGTTCTCCAAAGCATGGCTTTACATCACTATGGCCATAGTCTATGGCTCTAAAGACGACCCTAAGTGTGATGATCGGATGAGAAGGGCCGAAGAGCTCATCGCTACGGGCTCTAAAAAGCTGGTTCAAGGATTCGGTGACAAAAATTTGCTAGAAAAGGCTATTGTATTGCCGCTTGAAGTGCTTTCACTCATCACAATGGGCATCTTGCAAGATCAGTTGGGCAAATCTGATGACATATGCGATACGTACTCTCAGTATCTTGGCTCTCTAGTATGTTTCAATGCAGATAACGCCATAACCCGGGTCGGTTATTAACATGCTCAGGATCATGCAATCACGTCGAACCCCTCCGACAGGTCCTTCCAACATCAGCTCGATCTAGTACAACAAGAGCTCGTGGCCGTCAAGCGAACACTCTGGAAGCAAAACTCGCTTATCTATCGACTACGAAAGTCTCTCACCGCTATTGATACAGAAGGCATTGTCATGAGTCAGATTGAGCATGAGATCGTCTTAAAAGAGGCAGAGAAGCAGTACAACGACAAGCGGTACTACTCAGAAAACTTGCCGCCGCCTCACTCACAACGTCAGGGTGAGGACTATAATCGAATTGTCCCTGTTTCTTATGCTCAGGAGGTTGCAACTGTGAACGACTATATGGAACTGGATGATGACTTCCTGTTCGATATGGCTTCATCTTCAAAACTGTCTCCTACAGATGCGGGAGGTTTACGTGGTCTCTTCTTCCTTGAATGCTCACGTCTCATCGAGCAACGCGAGTTTGAGTTTCGACGTTTCAGCGATTTTTCTAAAGACCTCGAGCGAGCGATTACATATAAGATGGACTTCACAAGAGACCGACAGGAGTGGGCCATCTATGCCTTCACCCTGGTTACTATCATTTTCTTGCCCATCAGCGCGGTTTCGAGTATTTTCGGCATGAACACGACTGATGTCCGCGATATGAACTACTCAGTGTGGCTGTATTGGGTGGTTGCTATACCAGTGACGGTTCTCGTCATTGTCCTAGGACTCTGGTTCATGGGAGAGTTAGGAAACCTGGCTCGATGGTTATTTGGGCGACCAGGAAAGGGTATCTACGGCGAGCCGGCAGTCATATCACAAACAGTCGAACCGGCATATTGGGCGGTTCCCCCAACCACTCAGCTGGGCGCCCAACCGGCAGAGTATTCATCGCCACCATATGAGCCGAGGCGTAGAAGGGTTCAGACTCAAGCAAATTACCCTGCACGCCAGAGTCGCATCTATCGATCACGATAAGTGACCTGGAGGCGAATAGTTAGCGCCTTTGTGGAGAAGTGCTCAGCTGGGGTGCAAATATTGTAAGTTTTTAAGTCCAAAATGATTACAAGTTCGAGTTGCTTGACAATATAGGATATAGTTTAGAAAAAGTTTGCTCTAACTAAAGACACTCAAATTTGCCTTAACTCCTGGACAAACACTATTTAAGAAGAACCAGAATCATCAATCATAATACAGATAAGGCCGTTACAGAACCGCCCATTCATAGCCATGCAAGTACTCGTTAATCATCGGTAGTACTCACGCTCACGGTCTGTAATACGTAGCCGTACTCTATCATCCTCAATCATCCGCCTGGGTGGTGATGGAGGTGAATACTCCCGACGTCGAGTTCCCTCAACGTACCGGAAGGTTTCATAGCGAGGCTCAACTTGGACCGGGACAGGAACGGGGACGATCCTCTCACGCTCGATGACGCGCTCTCGATCGTGATCATATGATGAGTGGTGGCTGTGCCTGCTTCGGGATCGAGACTTGGGCTTCTTCTTTTTCTTGTGTGGCTCAACGTCGACCGCAATGACCTCGATAGGCTCCTCTGGTGGAGGTGAAGGGGGTCTGGGCTTCACGACCGGAGGAGGCGGAGGCTTGGGTTTCTCAACTGGAGGGCAAGGTGGAGGAGGCGGTGGTTTCTGGACCACGGGAGGCGGCGGTGGTGGTTGAGGTTGTGGAGGTGGAGGTGGTGGCAGCGGAGGTCTAACAATTACTGGAGGTGGTGGAGGAGGAGAAGGTTCAGGAGGAGGAATTATTCGTGTTACGCGATGGCTGACGATGCCATAATCCTGCTCCGGGTGCTGGAGATAGAGTCGTTTCTTCTCGTAAGGTTTGGTGACTGTTGCGATGACGTCAGTGACGGTCGAGTTTGCGATATGGCACACGGCAATGTGCAGCAATAGAAGACATACCCATCGTGTCGGCGAACACAGATATAGCTTCAGCGACAACAGCACAATGAAATGCAAGCAGTTACCTGTAACGCGATATACAAACAAACAGCCAAAGGGTGTTTCGACGGGGAAAACCCGAGGATGATCAAGTGGGGTACTTAGGTCAAGATGGTGAAGTGGGATGCTTTGTGATGACAGTTAACGGTGGCAATAGGCGGGTGGGAAAGGGGACGGCGATCTTTTATGTTCTAATAAAGATTCGAACGATCAGGCTGCAATGGAAGACATGGCATGTGAGAAAAGGCTATTGAGCTTCCATGATTTGTTCCAACCCAACCCAACGTACCAACCAATACCCAAGCCAAAAAGCCAGACCAATCTAATGGATGGATGGTACTAGCAACTCCGAACTTGGAACACCAAAGGCTCTGACTACCAGTAAAACACGAGGTCACCGGATCATGACGTCGCACATGCGTATGCACGTCAGCCCCCACCTCCAATATTTGGTCATCTACAAGAAACCAGATTTCGCGATTGTGATGGGCAGGGGCCGAAAGATGCATGTTGAGTACACAGGTAGGCCTGGAATCCAACCAGTCATGTGTGTAATTTTCAGCACAGCCTACGTTCTGGACCCCTGGACCCCGAAAAAATGGAATGGATAGAGAGAAAACCTTGGTGCCAAACGGCAGGGCTGAGTTGTTCTGGTTGGGTTGCGGAAACCCCCATAGAATCTTGGCGGTAGATTGGTAACGGGGAATGCCATTGTGTGTGTGTCGACGAAGATATTCCACTCAGGTTGTGTATGTGTCGAGTACATGACCGAGGTAGCGCGAATCGCAGATGAGCTTCACTGTCTTTTGGCAACGGATATCATATTTTAGTCAATGAAACATTAGAGTGGTTTCAAATGACAGAGTTGTCTACCAGTACGGCAGTTCAACCTTCCAGAGGCCGGTGCCAAGGCCCGGGTCGGAAGCTAGAGACTCGGAGCGAGTGGGTCCGAAACGCCGACTCACGGTCATAAAAGCACCGTTACAGTTTCGGAGTCACACCACTTTTGTGAGGTTTCTTCAACGTCTCGCTTAACGAATTCAAGTCCTAATCTGACGTATCCGTAGAACTTTAGTTAGAGACTCACCCTGGCAATCACCACCTCCACCGCCTCCTGAAACCAACATGTGCACTACCTAGAAACCCCTGGACTTCGGCAAGTCATCAGGGGTGATGAGACCCTGGGGTGCATTCTGACATGACAGGATTATTCTGATCGCCAGGGTTGGGGCGATCGCTAGACAGGATCTAGGAGCAGGAAAACTTTAGACTTTAGAAGATAATATTAAAATAAACTTAGTAAAGAGTCCCTCAAACTTAGACTAAATTATCTACATCTTTTTGTCGCTCGGGAAGGATTAAGGTCCTGAGCTTTCTTGCATTCCCTGGGGTAAACTATTTGCTGGGATTGGTGGTAAAATCCTCAAGGAAACTAGTCTACTGATAACCCTATTCCCCAAGGCTCCGCCACTTCGTTCTACCGTGGGCCCTGTTGTTGGTCTTTATGGCGAATTAGTATACATATGTAGTACATAGTAGATTATCAGTCGGTACGGAAACGGTTCAACAGGGGTTTAGTAGTACGGATACAGTGGAAATATATCAATGTAGGGTGGTTGAGCGGAATAATTCAAACCGCAGCAAGATGGAAATAATATTACTGACACAGGTCAAAACTCAAGGCTTTACCTATTAGTAGTCCCAGCCTTCGGGTTTATCCAAGAGTATACCCAACAGCACTGAATTGGTTGAAGGCAACTTCTGGCATTTTTTACTATAAATCCATGCCTCGCTAATATCCTCAGTTGAGTCATCTACAGAGACCGTCGTTACTTATCCGAAAAAAGTAAACAAGCTTCCGACAAACACCTGGGCCAACACATCCGGTGTCAGAACATCCGTCTTGTCAGCTGCTAGGCTCGTGCGTGGGGGGGGGAACCCGAAACAATTATTGTCTTCTATCTAGCACCTGACTTGGTCGTTCGCTGTTGCAGGTTGACCCGCCTAGCTCGTTTCTATCCTCAATGGAGTTCACGCCTCTCTTTCTTGTGATATTGATTGAATTATGAGGGCCGAATATCCGAAACGATTCACACATATTTATAGTAGCTTGATGATCTACCGATATGAGATTCTGTGAATGGCAAGTTCCTTCTTAAAACAAGCTGTTTGGGGTTGTAACAGTCTCATAGTCCCATATTATAGTCATCATCTCAAGCAAGAAAACTTAGGGGTTCTTATTATAAGAAATAAAAACACTTGGGTAAGTTCCATATATTTTGGTTAATCTTTCATCACAAGTTTTATCACCTGCGGAGGCCAAGCTCCTTGGGAGGCTGAACGGTCAAGATGGTCTGGATTCAATGCCAGACACGAGCATATAGACTACTCACGTGACTTGGATGGGAAATACGCTCTTCACCTAACTATGCGTGGTATCGTGCTGAACGTATGGTGACTTACTTCCGGATGATTGACTACTCTAAGGTGTCTGAACTCGAACCCAAATAGTTACAACACGCTCCGACTTATCATGTGTGCCCATATATACATTTACACAAAACAAAAGAACGATAAGACAACATCCAACCTTGCCACCAAAATACCCTACATGACTAGATGGATAAATTCCTGGTTCCCAGCGGAATCAACGTGTATTTCCTCAACCCTACCCTATAACGATGGAATCAGTCAAGCTTGGGAATCAACAAGGATATGTGGAGCTGGGCATTAAAAACAACAGGTAGTATGCAAAGAGAAAGGACACCAGGGTAATGTAATGTAGAGAATTGGCATAAAAAACCGTCCTATGCGTTGCGGGCGGGATCATGATGATCGAAATCACCGGTTTACAAGGTATGAGAGTAGTGGGAAGTATCCATCACCTAACTACCTAGCCTGTGTACCATGCTGCCATGGTCTCCGAAGCATACGTAGTATGCATAATTAAAGGAGTTCGGCACTGGTAATACAGTTTTTACATCCATGGAAGTCCTGAGCTGTCCAATTCGGAATGAACGAATGAGGACTCTTATCACCTTTTCAAATCACACCGCTTTTGCCGACACTGCCCAGTTTTAGGTACCATGTATCTACATACTATCTTCCTCTCTTCCCCCAAATAAGGTAAGTATTTGCATAATTTTGTACGGCCCATAATGAAGGAATAACTTTTAGGCCCTGCATATTAATAGTTTATCTAAACGCGTTACTCCTTTCTATGTATATAGGCGCTTCTGACAACCCAACAATTCATCATTCTCTCCCGTCCTCCAGTGACCAACCTTGTCATTTCATACAATGGGGCTATCTGTACGTTGGTTTCGGGGAATTGAGCCAGGCGAGGAACCGGATTTATGAAGAAGTCGGTGTCTTTTCGCGAGAAAAGCCATTATTCAGGATGAATCTTGGCCCGAATTCCAACTGTGCCTTGCTTCGTAGATCGGATAGGTACCAACGATATGGTTGAGGGGGGGCGACATATAGGTGCTTCCAAGCCTCATCTGGCTGTCTTGCCTTCCATACATACATGACAATTGCGCGATAAACCAGCCACACGGAATGATTTCGATATTCGAGTTGAGGGATCCCCTGCGGCGACGGCTCAGGGACTGTCTCAGTCCCTAAAGCTGCAAGGAGTGTTGTACTGGTATGAGTTGAAGATATGTTTTATGGAATGGCGCCGAAAGCCAAGACGAACTGTTCTTCCTCTCCCGTATGTGCCTTGTTCGTCTTGGATGTGATACCTTCGGGGTGGCTTGCAGTAAATCTGTCAGATGGCTGTTGTGTTTGCCTCGAATACACGCTGAAGTGTGGGTGGCCGGCCATACCAAACATTGGACAAATGAAGGCAGATAGCTAAGAATAATTTCAAGTCCCCACTGTTACAAGCTGTGCTAGCCCGAGGCGCTTTACGTTTCTCCTTGAGATCCCAAACAGAGCCGGCATGATTCACTCCTTGGTAAGAGGAGATCGATCCGAGGCTTGCGTTGTGTCACCCGCCAAGCAGTTTGGTCA